TTATGTACGAGCGAAAGAATGCAATGGAGCACACGCTCAGTTGACCTACGCAGGACGTGACTGAGCCATGTTAACTGACGCATCAAACCAGCACGTTAAAGGGAATACTCGCACGCCCTAAGACCCAATGTCTGACTTCTCCGTTGCAGATCTGTTATTGCCACCACACACGAGCAATTAAACGCGAACTGGTCTCGAATCGCATCCATATAGCAACAGAGCGCAAACGGTCGCATTGTAAACCATATCCGCCGCAGCTGTTTCAGGTTAACGAAAGCTCAACAACCTAACCAAAATAGCATTTATCGCAAAGTTGAATCAAAGGTTTAAAATTTCGCAAAGAAAATTCAAAATGTTGCAAAACGCTGTGCGATTCGCCAGCCACTCAGAACCAATCCTCTGCCCTTAAGTGTATTCTCATTGGCTAGATGCCAAGGTTTGGTGCGTTAGTCTGGGGAGGTGAGCGCGCTGCTCGTTGACTGGGTGAGACTTGTGAATGAACATTGGAGGAATGCACTTCGACGGTGCAACGGGCTTGTATGCGCCCCCTCATGTCTAAGACGAGGGATCAAAATTGGTCTGAGAGCAATGAACAGCTGGAACATAAGCGCACGTCTGAAACCATGTCTATGATACTAGCGTCGTCGGCATGCCTTCTCGAGTTCGACAGATTATCTCATCAAATATTCGTAACCGAGTTTTGGGCGCTTTCGTCAACGGCGATGACTGGCAGCTGTTGACAACCGTGAACTAAGTCAAATATCAAAAAGCTTACACTTGGATTCGTCGTTCTTTTGATCAGAAGTCGAGTACTAAGCAGGCGCGCGATCGTAAGCGCAATCCGTCGCAGTAAGATTGTAAGGCATTCAACTATTACGCTACCGGCAATGCGAGTACTAGTAGTAGCAGAAATGGACAAGGACATTTCGAAGTCAACAATCGCACGGCATCTAGATGGTCGGTTGATAATTATGAAGAACATCTATGAGGTTCCCGAAGGAAAACACAATGAGCGAACCAAAGTGATTTGCAGCAGTTTCTTCAACTTGAGAGCTATGGCTAGCTTTTCATTTGCATTGACGAAGTGAACTTCAACGTTCTCTGCAAACGTACTCGTGGTCGGGCGCCCAGATGAGTGAGGGCCTGCATTTTATCGGTGCATTCACAATAAAAGGGAAAGTGTTGATGATCACCCGGAGAGGCTCATTCACAGATCCCGTATCACTCGAATGGCTGCGAAGCTACTTAGACAACCTGAAACGGGAGATGGAGCTCCGGTAGGTTGTCGTGGTACGTGATAGTGCACCACGTTACAATAGACTGGAAGAATTGTCGTCATTAGATGGATACGAGGGAGTAACCATACTGAGATTGAGCCCACACTCACCGTTCCTCGATCCGATCTAGAATGTTTGCAGATGAAAAGTGAAGAATGAGATGAGAGTGCAGTACGAGGAACTTCTGGCGGGGGATCCCCAGAAACTCATGACGCAGATGGAATGGAGGCTGCAGTTCCTTGAACAAATTACCGGAGCAGCCACGAAGGGTATTAGGGTTGTGGGATGTCGCAATGCTATTCGACATATGCGTGTATATTTTCCCAGTTGTCTAGCAAAATGACATGTTTTGATCACGTTGCTGGCCTATATTTTACGTATCTGGTTGTATAGCACGTCACTGGCATCGCGTAGGGACGTGTGAGTATTCAAAGTGTTTTCAAAATATGTATGCACGTACGTAATTTGTGTGTCTGTACGGGGTTTGAAGCGATATCTGATGTCTTGCACAACGGCGTGGCACGGGACCGGCTTCCAGTGAGCCATTCCCGAATGATATGTTCAACTTATCGTCCTTTTCGCGCTAGTATTCGCTGCGCCGTACTCTTTCATGATCAGCCTGAGATGGTGTAGATACAGTTCGTTTGTTCGGGAAACTGGGATGTTTGAAAAGTGCATTGTATGACAAAGCGAGCTTACTGGATGAAGCAACCGTCAGGTATATCACAGTATGGGATATCAGCGTGGATAGTTGAATAGTAGTGAATAAGAAATTACTGCACACGTCATGCCAGCCTTTTGCAAGAGAGGAACTGATAGATGCGCAGATCCGAGTTCGCAAACACGTCCAATACCAGAGAAGATGTCGTCATTTAAGCTGAACGAATGAATCGCTAGTCTAATGGAAACCGTCTCTGCGCGATGTTTGTCCGCTGTACTTGAGTGCACTGGCGCGTTAATTCTTTACCTGCTTGAAATTTGTTCTGTCAATTTCGGAACCTACATCAGCCTGTACTTTAGGTTTAAAAGCAACCATTCCTACAGCGAGACCAATTTAATTTGCGTGCCAGAAAGGCCCGAATAGTTCTCCAGTAGGATTTGGATACTGTCTTGAGCGTTCGAGTGATCCCTCGTTTGCCCCAGTAGCGTGCGTAAACAACTGGCGGTGTAGTTGGCGTAGATACAGTGGCGTAGCAACTACTTTGCTGTCCGTGGCGGACGCGCACTTGCTGTCGCTGTCGCGGTTGTAAAGCCCGCAATTGAAATTGCCATTTAATATTTCGTTTCACATAATAACAATCACAGATTTAATTTTAGAGTGCTGTCGTGAATGTAACTATTTGGATTGTTAAAATACTCGTGTTCGAAATGTACAGGTACAGTTTGCGTGCATTACTTGAAGACACTGGCATCTGAACTGAATAACCGCTCATCTAACGCAATTGAACATCACTGATCGAAAATCCGGCAGATTTGTTAGCTGTGGGTATGTCTTCATGTGGCAAATCAAATCGCCAACCTAGATATTGGGTAACTACGCAGTCTCACGAACATATAGATGCTTGCCAACTTGTTCCTGCTGATGGCGAACACAAGGAGATTCCCAAAGCCGTGGCACTTAACCGGCATCGCCCTATCCTATGCGTGCAAAAACAATTAACAGTCTCCCTGAAGCTTCCTTGGGGCTCATGACCCTAAGATCAGGATGCTAATCTGTCATTGTTGTGTCTACGTAATTTTTCCCTTGTGACCAGTTTCAAAATCTTTGATTTCTTCTGTCACGTGATTCATCTATCTGTTGTTAGTTTGCGAGTGAACAGATAACACGAAATGGTACCATCTCGCAATACCAGTCTTCTTATTGTCTTGTTTAGAATGATAAAGGGAACTCAGTGCTTTAAATAATACTGTTGTTCACATTCCCTATGTGATGCATTCCCTAGCTAGTACCCTTGATCCATGGATTCACTGTGAACATGTTGTTATATTTACAGGAGTGCTGACAACTGTCTACATCGCACACAGGTCATAGTGTCTCCATTAGCGACGTGTACAGTGGTGTCGTTGTATCAGTTGCAACATTTGATCGTAGTTTAGCCTGGCCAGCGGTGGACCAATTTGGCTGAGTGTTAGTCTGGACTGGCTCAACGTGGGGGAATTAAACTACAAAACTCTAACCTGGAACGTTACTTCGATCAACATCATTATTGCAGTTGCAACATTTGAACTCAGCTTAGTCCGGCCAGTCACATCGGTCACATACCGTTGGCCTCTAGGACATTCCGGTTTGTAAAATTGTCACCTTCTTCTGCATACGAAGCCCATGTATGTTCCTACACCCAGTCCGTTGACAAGTGCACTCATGCTTATCGCGATTAGTAAGGCTGGTTGGAGAGAATTCCAAGCGAATTTGGACTAGGAAAATGAATTTGGATTACTGGTGGCTTTATGAGTGATGCAACTTATTTGTAGAAAGTAGAAGCCACGATTAAACTTTGCACAATAATCTGCCTCGAGGGGGAAGCGAACCCCCTAGGTTCCGGGTTCGATAACTGCTTTTCCACACTTAAACCACTCCGGGTGAAGTCCGTCTGAGCCGACTGCCTTGAATCATTTCAAGTGTCTAATCTCAAGACAAACTTCCGCTTCGTTGGGAGGATCAAGTGTGACGGTCAACAGCTGGCAGTTGCGTTCCCAGGGCATAGAGCATGTGCTGCATCAGTATGGGAGTAATTGAGGAAGTGATAGAGCTGGTTCTTGTTATGACAAACTAAATTAGGTGTTGCTGTACAATGTCTTGGTGGCTGCCGGTAACAATGGTGATGATTACCAGGCGTCAGCAAGCAAATAGGATTGATGGCTCTGAAAGTAAAGATAACTTGAAGGGGAAGGTTCTTTAAATCTCGGCACATGAGTGATACTTTCAATTAGATTGTTGTTCTTGCTGTTGGTACATTAACATTCGCTGCATAGACATTCGCAACTTTTAAAATCTTGTTCGCTGAACAGCTTCCTCGTGGAGCCAACTGGGTAGTTCAGGATTATCCCCTTCAATCGAATAACGTGGCTGCAGTGTTACAGGACGTGTTTGGTTATTCGCTTAGCAAGTGTGCTACTTAGAAAAGCCACATTTGTCCGTTTAAGAACGTCGCGAAGGGGCGGGTGTGAATTTGCCACTAAATAAAGTCACTGCTCTTTGCTTTACTCTGGTGGTGCAGTGTATTACAGAAGCCTGTTGCTGGAGTTGAGAGGGTGACTGTCCCCTCTTTTGTAACCGGCCGAATGAAAGTCGCATGAATTAACCAATCATTACCCGAATCCCATTGGGTGGGATTTCAAGTCGTGCGAGTAGGCTATCCAGCTAAACTCTCGGGGTGGTGTCTCCTAAGACAACTCCCTGTTTCTGCTTCAACGACCGGGTAGTAGCACGTCCCCTGAAAGAACTATGGATTGCTCTGTAGGAGAACGACTATCGTACCTTCCGTTGTTTTTGATAGTTTTGGTAGGTTCGTATACAGCCGTAGACTACTGAAAGAATGTGATAGTATATAAACTCTGTAACTTCAGTATGAGCAGGGTCAAACGGCGTTTGGTGGCATGCACACACTAAGCGAATCAGTGTAAGCAGTCCCTCAAACACAAGCAGTTAGGCTGCTGATCACAAATGTTAGGAGTGTATTGCATAACCCATCCAAACAACTGGTTTAAAAGCGGTAAACTCACCAAGGTCCTTAGTTTGTTTAGATCTCTCAATGTTCGTTCGCTGCCATCATGATGCATATCTAAACAATTGCGACTGCCATACTTCTCGCTGTCAGTCAAATATTCTCTCATGGTAGGCGCTCCAGCTCCCTCAGGACTTGCCCTGTACACAACCTGATCCCTTTGCATGTGTCGTTGTATCTGGCAGCGACAAGTATGCGGTGAACTATTATACTTCCACTTGAGATCTTCGGCTGCCTCAAGGGGCTTACGCTGAGGGAAGCGTGAGCTCGGTTTCCATGGTACCTGTGGTCCCACCGCCATAAAGTTGATTTTAGGTGGATTGGACACTCGAATTGTGGACACTGTTCGATCGGTCGGTGTGAGGATTTTGGGTGGCATTCGGTCAGCAGACGTTAGTGGTCGTCGTGGAATCCCATTTTCCAGTGCCACTCGAGCTAGTGGGCAGATGCTGCTGCTTCTGTTGGGCGAAAAGATGAATACAGTAGAAATCGGATACTCAATTGGAGATTACATTAAACATTACATTAAAAACATAAATTTGTACCCCGGCCCCACTGGGTTCGATTCCACGTCGAAGCAGACTATTGCGCAGTTTAGTCGTGGCTTCTATTTCCTACGAAAATTACACTACTCACATAGTCCACAAGTAGTCATTTTATAGTTTCTAATTTGTTGACATGATTCTGTCAGGCAAAAGCGAAGCAACTGTTGCCGTGTAAATTATCGGTAGCCCACTGAAGAAAATCTCATGTCCAACAGCGGGTCTGAAAGCCATCGATTCTTCAAATTGCTTTATGTTGCCATGATACCAGTTACAGATGCTAATGATTTGGCAAGAAAAATGTGAACTATAATCTATTCCGGACATTGTTTATTGATTTCAACTCACCAAACTATGCCAGCAGTCCAGCACAGCTCAGAAATCATTAGGGTCCCTATACTCTGACTGCAAATATGGAACACAGTCGATATCACTGGAAAGCAATGCTTTGCTATGACTACAAATATAGTTTAGCAGCACCAGGGTGTTGAGCGATTGCGTGCTGCTTTTGCTGAAGATGCGCCACCAAGAACCAGTATTTGGGTGGTTTGCGGAATCCAAGCGTAGACGGCGGTCCCTTGATGATGACGCAAGTTGTTGTCGGCCTGTGGCGGTCAGCACCACAGACAACATTGCTGCTGTGCAAACGATGCCGGAGGACACGCGGCTTACTGTGGTACAGCTGGGGAAAGTTATTACGATCTCATCGGGATCAATCCGCATCATCCTCCATGAGAACCTCGCCTCAGAAACCTTTGCGCACCCTGGGTACCTTCTCAGCCAAGTGAGATGAACTGGTGCCGCAACATACTTGCCGGTTTTGATGGTGGACGTTCCAATGCTGTTTATGAGATTCTCAGTGGCGATGAGACTTTGGTGTACAGTTTCAACCTAAAAACCAAGCCATAATCGGCTCAATGGACGGACGTTGTTGGAGCGCCGCCTCAGAAATTCCGGGGTCATCGCAGTGTTGCCAAACGGATGGTTGCTGTTCGTGGTAAAGACCGGTCAAGTGGCTACTGTACGGCTGTCACAGCGACGCACAGTCACCGAGGACTGCTATACCGCGCACTGTCTGCCACAAGTAGCAGACACAGCAGTCAAACATTACGTAAGGACTCGAGCAAAAGGGACTTTGCTGCACCATGCCGCCTTAGAGTTTCTGGTTGGAGAGCGTCTCTAAGAGGAGGGTCACCCACCCTACGACCCACACTTGCTCTGTGTGACATTTTGTGCTCCCAAAGCTGAAGCGGATAATGTGTGGAATGCCTTACGAGTCTCCAAAGTTGCAGTATAGTTCTTTACTGAGCTGCTTGTAGGTTACTTGCTTCGGTATGGTCTAACTGCATCCTCAAATGATTTGAGCGCAGGGAATTGTGCATGGACGCCCATAGAGAGTACTTCTAGAAAATGTAATGCTCATGTTGTGGTGAGAAATAAAACATTACATGCATCCGGAAACCTATCGCTTCACCTTCGCATCTCCTGCTTTCGCATCAGAAATAAGTGTAGTGAAGGTAAGATGTTTCCGCATCATCGCACCAGCTAACTTGTGGCACTACGGATCGTTGATCATCTACTGCTTTCACACACGACTGCATGGTGTTGTAGGAAAAAAGCTACGCCAGCGAAAGTGTACATACGCTGAAAAGCATTGCAGTTTGGCTAGGTTAAAGGTACGAATGACCAAACGTCAGACTGCTGTGTAGCGGGAAATACTGAGTTGTCGGTATCAAAGAGCAGACATCCTTCGAATATTTGACGTTGGATTTCCCTTGGTATCGATTTATTTTTTACGATAGTCCGTCAAGGATGATTCATAGTCACGGCGGCGCACAATCCGTGGCTAGACATTGTGTCACGCGGAGTTTCGGATTTGTGCTCCTTTTTCGTTGATCCTCCTCGGATTGGCTGCAACTTCGCTTGCATTCATTACTTCATAGTTCACTCGATTGTAGCTTCTAATGATGAGATTACAATGATTGCGAAAGGGCTGTCATGTCACACTGTGGGCTATGTTCAAACCCAAAAGAGTCTACGTCCATTATTCTCCTCCAAACTCAGTTCACTTTGGACAAATTTCGGTGGATCCCCTTAAACCTCTCGCGCTGATCGGCCGAGTTGGAGCGATGTACAAACATCAAATAACCATTAAATAACACAATTACAATTTTGTCAAGCCAAATGCCGAAGAGTACTATACCAGTTTAGCGCAATTTAGGATAGATAAGTTACAAATAAAGAATTGTCCCATTAACTGCCTAGTTATGGCACCCCTACAGCTGGAGTGTTAGATTGGATGCAACTAAGTACAAGCAAGTCCAAATGGCTAGCAGCCAACCAGCAGGATGGCATCTCCTCCCTTTTGGAGTCCGTCGACAGCACGCATATCATAGGTGCATATTGTACATTTCTCTGCCTCCCCACAGATTCTACCGATTGCAAAATACATAGGAACTGGCTACGAGATTCTAGTGTGCACTCTGTACTTTCCGGGAATCGGAAGGCCGATGGGGAAATTCCAATGAGCCATGGGCTCTTCTTCTACTTGATTGCAACCTACTAACCCGCTCGCTCTATGCGCACTCACCACCTGAATCCGGCCGGTTCATCCACAGCGTTGGTATGCACAGATTACTAGAGTTGATAATGCGGCGCGGTATCGATCCATTGGCCTTGATGTGGGACTTAGAAAGCTATAATTCATTGCCACTTGGTTCGGGGCTGGTACACGAGACGACATTGGAGTGCACTGTAACCACAGGAGTTTATTTGCTTACACACGGGTACATCCTAGTATCGGCTGAGACTGGAGTTTCAATCAGGTTCCGTGGAGAGAATATTAGTGCTCCGTTAAGTTGAACATGTGGAAGTCTACTGACTGGCGTTAAGGTGAGATCCGCCTGATCAATAACAAAGAGTAAAAGCCAATATCATCAGTTGTAACAGTTCCGGAATCAGATCATTCAAGGAAACTGCAGTAGGCCAAATTATTAAAATGTACTTAAGGGATGTCTGAGGAACGTCAATCCAGCATTAACAGTTGAAAATGGCGGCAGCAGCAGCAGCCTAAGATTTGTACTGATGTACCGCATAAATAGGCAGGGCGATTTGTATGCCTATTTACGCTTTTCATCTCGGCCTGTAAAAGTTGGTTGCAGGTCATTGTTTCTCTTCGCAACAGGACCAAGATGAGTTGCGTGTCGTGGGGACGTTAGTATGTGACTGCTGCCGTGAGGTCTTAAACGTTGCTTTAATTCATAAACTAATTTTTAGGTTTCTGGTGAACTGGGGATTGGGTATCTAACGCAGACATCATGCGCTCCCCAATGTTTGCGACAAACTTCGATTCACCATTGCTCTTCATTCCGGAGTCTGTTTCATCAATGCGTCCTTCGGCGACACGGATTGAATCATCCGGTTAATTGCCATTTAGTGACATACTGCCGCACTTGCTGCTGTTCTCCGTGGTAGTAGCTCTTTTATCCCACATAGGTAATGGGATGTGGACCGGCGAATCGCTGTGAGATATTTATCAAATGATGATGCCATCGTTCTGTCTAGATACACTCCAACTCGGTTGATAAACCCCTGACAGCTTGCGCTGGCCCATAATAGTTATGCCATCAGACGGAAAACTAATCGCCGCAGTGGGCACCTTAGGGTGTCGGAGGAAAGTGTTCGCACCAACGCCAGTAGTGTCGTTGAGGTGACACCTAACCGTTCGTTATGTATATACCCTTTGACCATGTCTCATTCGCAAACCCAGTTCTCTGTGGCGATGCCGTATATTCGCTAGAGATAAGTAACAAAAGCGTGTAAAGCACTTCAGTATTTGATGTTTGTCGGTAATCTTTAGTAAGCTCGTGTTTAGCTTGATGAAGTTCTTCTTTTGGCTCGATTCGACAATTCCCTGTGACATAGATAATCATCGTTGCGGCGTCAATAACTCATAATGCCCAATGCGTCCAATAACTGATTGCGTTAGACTCACTTCCAAATAGTTATCGAGTTCTTCCCCAGAGACCATTTGTTCCAACTAATCCTATGCTACATACATTGTGTTGTCTGATGCTTGACGTGTGTTACAATCTGATACGCCAGCTGGGAATGTTGAGCAAGTGCTCACCTTCCCGTCAACAACACCCCAATGACTGACTTCAAGCTGTTACTGTTCGTCAATATTGGAGGTGTGATTCACATTCCATGACATAGTGCTCGATAAAGACTGACTTCTTCATGAAAGAGACTTCTGCCCATTCATCACTAGGTTTAACTCCGATGACCACCTTCCCCATACTTTACGATAGTGCATTTTGAACAAGTACCCCATACGTACTAATTTTCCACTCACTGTGTCCACTAGTTCAAGCGTACCTGCATTATCTGATTATCTGTATGTATCTTATGTATCTGATACAGAGATATGTTTAACCAGTTGTGACCAGCTTTCCACAGCTACGCATGCCAACGTCTAAACAGTTGTGGTTTGGGGCTGTATGCCTCCCGGATCCAACAATTCAGCGTCGCATACGAAGTAGATGATGTCAGTTCGTCTGCTTAGGATACAGCGTAAAATGGCAAGATGTATTCATGACACTTGAGCAGAAAGAGGTACGTATCTTGATGGATGCTTGATTTTGATAATGATCTACAGCATATTGTTATGATATCGTCATCCTGTAGTTGTTCGCAGACAACCAACAACTTTTAAATACATCTTAACATAAAGTAGACGGTGCAATATGTTTCACCTCCACACAACTTCCCCATGCACCTTGTTCCGAGGGTAGAGGTAGGCTGGCTAGCCGAACAAACTCCTCGTAGTGCCAGCTGGATGGTTCGGGTTTACCCCGTTGCAGCAAACGGTTCGCAGCAGTGTTCCAGGACGTGCTAGGCTTTAGCCTGGCAAGCGT